GATTATAGTCAAGAAAATGGTATGGGAAAGTTATACTCTGTCACATGGGGTCATTAAGAGTGAAAAGCAACTCAACAACAACCAAGGTTTTGTGGACCTCACTCTGAGAAACCAACTTTGAGCTTCCTAGTTGTTATACTTACTAACTGTGACTTTCAGATAATTTCTTAATTTCTAGGTGCCTTTGTCTCCTAGACCCCAAAATGGTGATAAGTTTTTTTTAGAATTAAATGAGATAGCAGCCAGTTTGTTTTGGTTGATATTGCTCGTGAATGTTATTTCAGACTCAGTCAACAAAACCAAAAAAAACAAACCCACTGCCATGGAATTGGATCCGACTCATAGTGAGCCCTTCTTGGGTTTCCGAGGCAATATCACGACGGAAGTAGATTGCTCAACCTTCCTTCTGAGGACTGGCTGGTGGGTCTGAACCTCCAGCCTTCTGATTAGTAGTCAAATGCCTTAGGCACTACGCCACCAAGATCTCCTACAGTAACTACTATTTTCAACCCTATTATTTCAGTCAGGAGTTCTGGTAGCATAATGCCTAAGGCACTTGACTGCTAACCAGAAGACTGGCTATTCAATCCCACCAGCCACTCTTCAGAAGGAAGGTTGAACAATCTACCTCCGTAGTGATACTGCCTCAGAAACCCAAGGAGGGGTCACTGTGAGTCAAGTCTGACTCCACGGCACATAACAACAACAACATTATTTCAGTCATACTGAAATGATAAGATTTATTGCCTTGAGGACCCAATACCAATAGGGGTCACTATAAGTTGGAATCAACTCGATGGCAGTGTTTTATTGTTTTTTTTTTCTAATACAGATACCTGATTTCAAAAGGTCACAGCTATTGAAAATTCTATGGGGCACAGTTCCACTCTGAAACACATAGGTGGCCACGAATTGGAATGAATTTTTGAGGACAGTGGTGGTTCAGTGGTAGGATTCTTGCCTTTTATGGCAGAGGTTCGAGTCCCTGGGGATGCTCCTCAAGCACAACCACCACTTGTCTCTCTGTCAGTGGAGGCTTGCGTGCTACTGTGATGCTGAACAGGTTTCAGCAGAGATTCCAGATGATGACAGACTAGGAAGAAAGGCCTGGCAAGATGCTTCCAGATATCAACCAATGAGAACGCTATGCATCACAATATTTTCATCCTTTTGTACAAGGGGTCACTATGAGTCAGGGCTGACTCACTGCAGCTAATGACAACAAAAACAAATATGCAAAAGATGTTTCAAAGTGAAAAGAGGTTTTAATAAATGGGAGCACTATTTTTTTTCTTTCTCCAGTTTGTAACATGTGTTACTGTGTGTTCTTCCCCAACATATGGTTCTAAAATGTCAGCTAGCTCATTTTTAGTTGTTAAGTAGGGGAATTATATTGATATAATATGAAGATTGTACAGCTTTATATGTGGTTCATTCTAGGCAAAATGGGTCAGAATAGTCAGAGTGGCGTAAGAAGCCCTCAGCTTGGATGCAATAAAGTTAAAAGTAGCACTCCAGCTCCATTGTAATAAAATGAAAAAAAGTGGTGTTTGTATCTCAGGCTCCCTCATCAAAGGGGCACACCCTTGCTTTGTGCAGCTCTTAAATATTTGCAGATTTCACTATTCCCTGTGCCATTCTCAGTGGCCAGCATGTTAGCTCATGATTTACTTTTCATCTGAATTTTCTCCACAAATTCTAATTAAATAATTGTTGGCATTTCTACTCTTTTTTAAAAAATTATTATTATTATTTTTAATGTATTCTAAGCCTACCTGCTTACTTGGGTTATCCAAATTATCTTCTGAGTTATCAACTATTATTTTTGTTTGTGATCTGGTCCCAAAGTTGCATAGGTCTTGAATGGTCTGCCTCAATCAAGTTCTATTACCTTGTTGTTGTTATTTGCCATCGAGTCAGCCCCGACTCATAGTGACCTCTCCTTGGGTTTCCGAGGCAGTATCACTACGGAAGTAGATTGCCCCATCTTTCCTCTGAGGAGTGGCTGGTGGGTTTGAACCGCCAGCCTTCTGGTTAGCAGTCAAGTGCCTTAGGCACTATGCTACCAGAACTCCTTCTGTTATTTTAGGTATGCCCTTTTGTTTGCAATGTGAGGATTAAACCATTTGCTATCACAGTGATTCCAACTCATGACAACCTCACCCTTGCCAGAGTAGAACTATGCTCCATAAGGTCTGCTTTTCAGTGTCTGATTTTTTTGGAAGTAAATCACTAGAACTTTCTTCCAAGGTATCTCTGGGCAGACTGGAATCTTCAGCCTTTTGGTTAGTGGCCTAGAGCACTCACCATCGGCACCACCCAGGGACTCCATGTGAGGATTGCAAGAAGCATATATATCTTGTCATGTAAATTGAATCTCATTTCAGAAACATGAACACCTCCAGCTCTGCAATATCTTATAGTCTCTGGAAGAGATTATAGTGTTCTAAATGTTTTTTAAATTCCAAGTAGTCAGCTTATTCCTAAGAGAGATCAGGTCATTTCCTTGTCACCACTAGTATTACATTTGTCCCTTATTACCCCATTGTGTAAAGCCTACTTGTTTTGCTTTTGTCCCAAAGCTTGTAGATTTCTAACTTACTCTATCAGCAATAATATATATAAATTTGACTTTAGTTATTGCCTCTTTTATCTCTAATTTAGTCCATCTTAACTAAAAGTACATAGTAATTTATATAGCTGAGAATAGTAGCCAAAGTAAATAATTTCTTTACTATAGAGAGACATTTTCTGTAGTAATGGTTATGATGCTGATAATTCTCACCATTTATCAAGTGTATACTAAGTGGCCATTTTTTTGTTCACTTGCATTATTGCTGATTCTTACACTATTTAATAACTATAATATAGATTTCATTTAGGAAATATGTATTATAACATAGTGTCTAGGGCATTTGACTGCTAACCAGACGGCTGGTGGTTCAAACCCACCAGCCACTCCTTGGAAGGAAGGTTGGGCTATCTATTCCATAGTGATGTTGTTGTTGTTGTTATGTGCCGTCGAGTCAGCCCTGACTCATAGCGACCCCTCCTTGGGTTTCCGAGGCAGTATCACTACGGAAGTAGGATT